TCCAGCTCTACACCTTGTTATCTCAAATATATGTTCCTGTTCCCTACACCCTGAAATGATACAATGCATTTTAATCAGAGGTCATAAGACTTGACTAAAAAAAACTTCCCTGTTTATGGAACTTGTCAAATAATTATTAAATCCCTCATCTCTAGACTTTATAAATTTCTGGAGATTTTTTTCACAAACAATGAACCAACATTTATTCAGTGATTATTAATGCTCTTAAAGTTGCAACAATAAAGGAAGCAAAGTATCATTTTGTTTTTACTGTCCAAACAACAGGTATGTGTCCTGCGCAGTAGGATGTCCTTATGAAGGAAGCATTGCACCAGCTAAGGTTGCGGAGGTAAGCTATACAGCCAAGATTGTACTAATTATGGTGTGGGAACTGGCTCAAACAATTACGTTTGAAAGGTAAATGATTTGGAAAGAAGCTTGTCAGAATGTATCTCTGTTGTAAGGTTTCTCATAGCTATTCCTTCACGTTTAGAAACACCTACAGTAAGAACGCAAGAGAAACTTAATTTACTCATGATAACTATAGTAAGGATCATCTTTACAAATATGCCAATTAAATTGTTCAAATACAACAGCTCAACATGTCCAGTAATTTACTGCGATTTGATTTACCCAGCAAGTTTTACAGCACCAGAGTTTAATTCTTCTTTTAAGTTTAGATCTAAAACATTCACTCAGCTCTTAACCCATGGTTTTTAGTGATCATGTCAGGGTCTTGTACTGGAATATGACCTATTTCCACATCAGTAAAGACTAAACACATTAAATCAGGCCACATGCACTCATTTTCCAAGGCCTTCTAGATCTGGCATGTGACTGGCAGCAAACACGCACGCATGGAAGTGTGTGCCATCTACCACATTGGTCACTACAAAAAAGATCTGACCTTCACCTATACTTGAAGTAAGCATTAGGCCATTGTCTATTCAAGAAGGTGGCTAATGTCTGATACAACTCCCTATTACAATTCTGGTTTGCTCCTAATCAGCCTGACCCTGCAACCCCTAAGTGAAAAGACAATATTATTTATTATCACTACCAGTCGTTTTGACTGTACCCAATACTGGAGCCACATGATGGACAATCCTTTTCCCGTATCCTGACTCCAACTCTTGTTCGCAATTCTGACTCCCAGCCTCCATCTTCAGACCCCTTCAATCCATCTCTGAGACCCAGCCTTCAATTCCAGACC